GTCTTAAGCTTGACATGTAGTTCCTCTGGGTGTGAGTGAAATTGGAGTACATTTGAGATGATATAGTTTGATTAATTGAATAATTCTAAGTATGAATTGTATTTAGTTTCAAACATGTAATATATGATATAAATATTGTACTAATTGCTTTGTGCTTGTTTAGGTCCACACAAAGAAAAGAAATCATCTGAAGCAGAAGACAATGAATGATCTTATTTTTGTGATGGCTAACTCAAGATTGGTCGAGAAGAAACATAGAAACCCTGTTGAATATAATTTTGATGATCTTGAATCAGATGATGATTGGATTGTGGAAAATGAAGAAGATTTGGAAGATGTAGAAGTAGATCAATTTGATTTGAATGGTCTAATTGAAGAAGACTTGAATGAAGTTGAAGAAAAGGAACCTATTAACTTGAATGATTTGAACATTCCCGATTGTGTTGATGAACTTGTTGGAGGAGGAGTGGAAGAGGATATAGTCGTTGATGAATTTAACTTGAATGACTTTATATAAATAAGAGATGTTAAACTCTTTCTTACTTTTGGTGTTTTGGTTTTGTTTTATGTTTTTCCAAGTTAACAACTATTGTTATTGTTACTTTTATATTATGTTTATGAGTCTTACAATTGATGTTAGATATAGATATAAATATATGGCAAAATGATTTCTGCAGCTGCTGTACCTACAGCAAGCAAGGATCCGCGTCCGGATCCTAGGATACGGCACCAGATCCTGAGTTTTTTTTTTTTTTTTTAAATCCGTGGAGTCCACTTTTTTGTGTCAGCTGTAGATAACATTTTCTACGACAGCTGCAGAAATGTTAAGCCCTAGATATATATATATATATATATATATATATATATATATATATATATATATATATATATAGTCGAATATAATTTTTTATCTTAGGTAATAGGATCTTACGATCCGTGTCGATCCCACGATTTACGATTTTCATATCCCCTCCGGATCTTGCATAGAATCTCGATTTTAACAACATTGGATATGGGTGTTTAGATCTGTTTCCTTCTATTGTAATGTATCTCGATATTAGACTTATTTAAATGAAGGGTTTTTTTTTTTTGTAACATTAATAAACTTGATCTATTTGGGATATGGGTGTTTAGATCTGTTTCCCTTTATTGCAATGTATCTCGATATAAGACTGATTTAAATGAAGGAATAACGCAAATGCTAAAATAGTATTATCCAAAAAAAAAAAAAGGAATATCAACATAGTAACAACAATATTAACGATGTGGACATGTGGTGAAGAATATCACTCGTTAATGGAGTGGAGGTATATATAACAAGCGAAAATAGATTCTCTAGTGTGAAAAAATGGTCATGTGATTATGTTATTTGATCACAACCTGTTATTTACAAATCATATATTTTTTCTCTTATCTCATCATTAATGAGTGATTATAGTCAAATAATATTATCACATGATTATTTTTTTACATAAGAAGACTCAAATCCATAACAAGCAAGAAAATTTCCTGACCCTATTAAGGTGTGAGACAACGAGCTCACAAGTGTGTGAGGTGGCAAGTGCGTAGAAAACAAAAATCAGATATAAAAAGAACTTTTGTCCCATATTGAGGGTGCAAAAGCTGGGCCTTTATATTGAGGCTAGACTGATCCAAAACAAAACCTTTTGATAAAAAAGTTTCCAAAGTGAACTTCGTCCATTAGAATTAAATAAATAAATGAAACATAACCAAACTACTTAAAATTAATGAGACTCTCATGGAGCATAAAGTTTCTTATCTAGTGAAATAAGAACAGTACTGACTCCGATAGAAACTCAGCATCCTTGGTGGCTGATGTGCTGAAAAGGACAATCGCTGGCATGCATTTGTGTTATGTTTGGGTGGCAACTGAGGTTTATTGACCTGAATTGCACTTCCATGGGAAACCCAACGTGATTCAAGTAATTTAGTCGTGGCCTCATTTGTTGGGCTGTGTAGTTTAAAGCCTTGCTTAGGCGAAAGGTATAGTGTAGCACCTATCATCGTTGACATCAAAGCTAGCACGCTTAAACCTAGTCCTTGTCTGATATGGTGAAACCTTTTTCCCTGCAACAAAGACACAATTGGTAGCGCTCACCAAAAAAAAAGAAAAAAAAAAGACACAATGGTAGCACAGGTTAGATATATATGTCCTTAACTTCAATCACCGTGAACCCATGATTTTGATTCATAATTAAACTTTTATTTAAGTCGGAAAAAAATAAGAACATGTAACATCGGTAAGATTGCTGGTTTATAATCGGAGGGTCGGATTTTAATTCGAGAAACAATCTTTGTATAAAAAATACTGAAGAGATGAGTCAACCCTCCCCTGTGCTTATTATTTTGAAATTTTAAGAAAATCTCATTTTTAATATCGAAATAAAGCAAATTCAACGGTTTCCTTCAGAAAAAGAACAAAAATAGAATGTTCAAAATAATTTTGCAATGCCTCTAGCTTTATATTATAGCCCAAAAAATGAAACAATCTTTGGGCCGAGACTCTACTTCAAGAGTTAGAAGTCCTAGATTATGACAATCTCTGTATCGTTTCTCTCTCTGCTATTAGATTACGTTACTCACGTGACCAATTCAAAGTCTTGGACCGCTTCCATTTGCTTCATCATCCTTAAGCTTGAGGGGGGAGGAATATTAGAGTATTATGGATACCAAACTTGCCTATGTCTACTTTACTGTTGAATGCATATCATACATATTATGTTAGTGCTTCAGTTACCGATGACTATAACAGCTTAAAGAAGCTTTTCGGTAATAAAAATCAGAATCTTCAGAGGCATGTTTTCTCTCACTCTCCTTTTCTGCCCTCTATTTTCCGTAACTTTCTCTCATTTCCAATTACAGTTTCATTATTTTATTCAATTTAGATTATTTTCACTTTTATTCTTATTTTGAAGGGAATATTATATTTACAAATTTTTGTTTACAAACTCTTATAAACTATACTATGTCTTATCGGCAAGATACTCTAAGGCTTTGTTTGGGAGTTGTTATTTGGAGGGGAAGGGAAGGAAATGAGAGGTTTTGGTGATACGATCTCCTCTGTTTGGGAGTTTAAAAAAAGAAGGGGGAGGTAATTAAAGATTTTCATAAATCCTCCAAAACCCTCATCTTTATTAAAATTGAAGTTCCCCCAACTTGGGGGGTTTTAAGAGGTAAAACATTTTAAATTACTTAATTACCCTCATTCAAAACAGAGCAATCTCTCTCGTGCACGCTGGTTCGTGGACATCAAACCTCAAATTTATTTTTTATTTTTTATTCTTTCTCGGTAACCAAACACTAATTAGGGTTTTGCTTCTTTGATTTTGTGTTATTCTAATGCATATTTTTTTAAAAAATTTGTCTGCACAAATAAATGTCGAGCTCATTTTTTCCTGATTTGATCGCTCAGTATTAGCAATTTGGGGAAGCACCTTCAAAGTGGATTGACCCAACACTACACACGTTCGTCGCTGAAGAAAAAGGTTTGATTTCTGGAGCTCATTCTTGTTATGCGATTTAAAGTGGTTTGTTTTGGGTATTTGTTTGGTGCTTCTCTCTCAGCCACCACTCCTTGTGCCTTTTTGTTTTTGGGTATTTTTTATAGAGTAAGCTCTTCCTCTGTATGATGATTTTTGTTTGATAGTTATTGTTTCTGATCTGTTGTGACCAGAATGAGGAAGCTCAGAATTCCAAAAGGGCTATTTGGTTGCGTTAAGATTTTGTGAAAAATGAACGGGATTTAGTTTTGAAATTATGTATGTTTATGTTTGATTAAATGCCCATGTGATGTTTGATATATGTTCTGAACCAAATTGGACTTCCGAGAAGCATGTTGAACTTGAATGATCATATAACATATTTATAAGTTATTATTCCCTTCTCATGTCAGCATCACGACCCCTGCCCACACTTGCATGCTCAGCACCGTAGAAATTTCACAAAATAAGATCAATTTTCACATTTACCACCCTCAATAACCAACCCTCTCTCTCTCTCTTCAGATGATGCTAAACCAACTTGGGTTTCAATTTAAAACTTGTTTCAGATTCTCCTACGTGAACATGAGGTGTGGGGAACAATGTATTATTCTTGTAACCACGACCCTTCCCTGTTTAGTTCTTAAACTCATTGTTGTCCTGCATTTGATTTTTAAATCTTTGAAGCCTTGTGATAGTATAAAACTCATTTTGTGCAGTCACCTAAAAGTTTAAAACTTAGAATTTTTAAGTGTTAAGGTGAAACCTTTACCTTAGTTGTTGTTAAGGTAAAACGTTCGCCTTATTAGTTTAAATTGTTAGAAGAGTAGGTTTTTGACAAATTATAATATAGTTAATGTTAAATATTGCTAAAGAAATTTGCCTAATAAGTAATAATCTTAGTAATTACGTTTAAAAAAGAAAAGACTAAAATAAAAATTTAAAAAAACTCGTAAACATTAAAATGCAGATGTTATTTTTATCATTTCTTCCTCCTTATATATATATATATATATATATATATATATATATATATATATATATACTCCTTTTATATATGTATATAAATATATCAAACAGTAAATTGACAAGGTCAATATCATCACCATAGTAATTGTTTCTACTATCTAGACCTCTCGATAAATACTAGTACCACTCATCAAAATTTCTGGGACAAATACTAGTATATGTCCCTCACTTGACAGATAAAGTACTAGAAGCTTCTGTAATCCACTGCATATACTCCAATACATAGATTGTTGATATTTACACGCTTCTGTTTTTTTTTTTTGGTAAAGTGTTAATTTAATTGTCGTATAAATAATCCATAATTCTGTACCTATATAACTTTTGGGTAAATATAATATTGTATTTCTTTGAATTTTGTATCTAGTTTGTGGCTACTGCAGTATAACTTTTCACTTGTACAACTATTATTCATATTAACTTTTCATTTTTTCATAATATTCATATTAACATATAGATGGTTTGTCTGTATAGATGGATAATCTTCGAGAAAAGATAAATCGTGCGTTGTTTATATGGAGAGAAAGACGTCGAATGGCTATTGTTCATGTCATATGCCTTGTAGTTTATTACTACATGATTAGAATTCATCCTCAAAGTAGGATAGTTGATCGTACAATGATCTTGGAGAAAGAGAGAGCACGAGAAAAAATAATGAAGCGAATTGCTAGTAGTGAAGGACGTAAGATAATAAGAATGGGGCCTATAGCCTTTTTGGACTTGTGTGCAATGTTAGAACGAGAGGGTGGTCTCCAATCAACCCAACGGGTAAGTATAGAGGAACAAGTTGCCAAAACCCTTTATATCCTAACACATAATGTTAGAAACCGAGAGGTTCAATTATGGTTTCGACGCTCTGGTGAGACCACTAGTCGGCATTTTCATCGTGTGCTTCGATCAATAGTGGAGTTAGAAGACAAATATCTTAAACAACCAGATGGTTTACAAATTCCTATAGAAATTTTTGGAAGCAATCGGTTTAACACATTTTTTAAGGTAAAAAATTGTTTTCATATTTAGATTTAAAAACATATATAGTTAAAAATATATTGATGTTATAATAACAATGCCAGGATTGTGTCGGGGCAATTGATTGTACACATGTTCGTGTAAAAGTTCCATTGATTGAAGCCTCTAAATATCGTGGTAGAAAAGATTTTCCAACACAAAATGTGTTGGTTGCATGTTCATTTGACCTAAGATTTACTTATGTTCTGCCTGGATGGGAGGGCACTGCTTCAGATTCAAGGATACTAAAAGATGCACTACGCAGAACAGATAATCTTAGAATACCTAGAGGTAATTAGTAAATTTTTTTTCTATAATTTTCCTCTTGTTTCATTAGATATATCTTAGCAATATTTTTTTAATAGGTAAATATTATCTCCTTGATGCTGGATTCATGTTGAGAAAGGGGCTGATCACACCTTACAGATCAACACGCTATCACTTGAAAGAATTTTCCTCAAGAAACCTACCTCGAACACCTCAAGAATTATTTAACCATCGCCATTCGTCCTTACGTAATGCTGTTGAAAGGGCTTTTGAGGTTTTGAAAAAAAGGTTTCCTATTATTGCTAGTGGCACAGAACCAACTTATGAAATCAAGACACAAAATAGGATTATCATAGCATGTTGCATTTTGCACAATTATTTGATGATGGTCGACCCTGATGAAGAGTTGGTTGCTGAGGTGGATGAAGAGATTTCTGAACAAAGTGTATCTGAACAACATGGAGATATCCATATAGACGAGGATGAGGATGAAGAACATACTCGTTTAGGAGAAATTTTAAGAAATTCTATAGCTGATGCTATGTGGAGAGCTTATAGACCATGATTAGGATTATTATGTATTTTTTGACTTAATGAATTGATGTTTTGTAGTTAGGGGTGTATTATCATGAATAGATCTGTTACCCATTTTATGTTGTTCTATTATTATCAATTTTGTGATTGTCAGACATTGATTATACTTAATGCTGGATTTTGCATATGCTTAATGTTCAATTGCTACACTGCTCAAATTTTATTTAGGAATCATGTCTGAGTCGGAGACTAAGCGAGAAACATGGACACAAGAGATGGATGATGCTCTTGTTGATGCTTTTTTGCATCAACAGAACGATGGAAATAAAGTTAGTGGCTCTTTTACATCCAAAGCATATGAAACCATCATAAAGGAGTTGCAACAAAAATTTGGACGCTCATTTGAGAAAGAAAAGATTAAGAGTCGTTGGAAATTAGTAAAAAGACGTTTTTCCAAGTGTTATGACTTGTTCAAGAATGGCTTGAGTGGATTTGCTTGGGACCCAATTACAAAACAATGGTGCGCTGAGCCTGAAGTTTGGCAAAAGCTAATTGAGGTATATTATGAACTTTCCTTGTTTTCATCCCTTTCTTGTTTTTGCTTAAAAATATTTGTTCAACAATTATTATTGTATAGGCTAAGCCTGAAGCAAAAGAGTGGATGGGAAAGTCTATTCATAATTATGACAAGTTGATGATCGTGTGTGGAGGAGACAGAGCCACTGGACAACTGCTGAAACTGCCAAAGACATTAGAAACAAAAGGCCATTTCCTGGTGAATTTGAGTCCATAGAAACCATTGATGTGACCGTAGAGAGTGCTCAAGAGGTTGGCAATGAAAATGAAGTTACATCACCTGAAGTACAAGATACTCGCAGTCAAGAGGTTAAATCTAAAAGGGCTAAAAGGTCAAAGGATGAAGAAGTTGAAGGGATAAAAATGACACTTCAAGATATTGCTGGAGCTCTTAAAGAGGGTAATGCAGCTCTAAGAGAGAGTAATGAAGCTCTAAGAGAGAATAATGTTATTTATGAGAAAGTTCAGCAGAAGCTTCCAATTCCTGAAGCTAAAATTTGGAAACTTTTAGAAGATTTGAAGATTGAGAGGCAAGTGTTCACCCGTGCATATCTTTATCTTCTTGATAATCCTGAGAGGATTAGAGCAATGATTGGTTGTCCTCCACACAAACGCAAGGACTTGCTACTTGAGATGGTGCTTGGTCCTGTTGGTCCCTTGAGGTAATTGTTGAAGTTGTAAAAAATGTATTCTTTGTTGGACTTTGAAATTGAAAATTATTTTTTGTCTATATTTTATCATTTATATTTATTTGATATTTATTTTTTTCTGTTGTAGGATGTCCCTGAATCACTAGATGGGATGCCCTTTACCAATCCAGGTATTCAAATGTTACATTTTTATTAATAAAGAGTAAAGAGAATATTTTAAATAAAAATCGATATTCAGATTGCCTTCATTTTGTTAAACAACTTTTATATATACAGCATTTTTCGTTTGAAGAAATAGGGAAACATATTCAGATGTTTGATTACTACTCTAATTAAGGAATTGGGCCGAATCAATTTTCTGAGTTGCCAGGCTACTGTTCCACGAGCATATAACTCTTTGGATCGGGTTGCATGAACTGTTGAATGCTTGAATTGTCTATTGCGCATTTTTGTCCAAAAAAGAGAACTAGATATACCTTTGTTTCCTGCAGAGTCAGAAACAGTCAAACACTAGCACTATTTGATAATATAAACATACATATTCACACGCATGTATATAAAGGTGAATGAAAAATAGAGTGAAGGTGGGTTAAGTGTAGTTATAAACTAATATTTGATAATATAAACATACATATTCACACGCATGTTTATACTATTTGATAATATAAACATACATATTCACATATATATCCAATTACAGTTCAAAAAGCATGCCTTGAATTGAAAAAAATTACCTGTTTTCCTTGCTTCTAATTACAAAGAATCAATGGTTGATAAAAAGCAATTATGCTTCTTAACCAAGGTTAAAAAGCAGTGATGCGAGATGTTTACAGCTTTGAATCTCAACCCTTTCACAAAGTAATCCAATCTTGAACATTGAAAACCAGTTAGTTAAATAAAACATCAAATTGCTCATATTGATGATCAGAGCATATAGTTAATTTGCTTTCATTTGGTTTGTGAGTATGTAGATTCTGAAGTGGAGAAGATTGAGTATTCTTTTATAAGACACACAGCCATGGAGCTTTTTCTGTTGTGGTTCATATTGCTCTGGAGCTTTTTCTGAAATTTGTCTCTGATTATTAATTGATCAAACTATTTGTTTTTGTGTTCTTAGCTGAAGCAATTATCATTGTTTTGCAGAGATGCAAGCACTTTGAGATTGGTGGCGATAAGAAGGGCAAAGGAACTTCTCTTTTTTAAGTGGAGAATTAGGATTTGCATTTTTTTTGTTTTCATAATATTGGAATGTTGTTTTTCTATGAATTTTTGGTAGCTATATTTTATTTTTTGCGATACATTTTGTGACTGAGAAATGAAGACTATTCCTAATATCATAGACTACTTGTTTCCATTCCTTGAATGATTGCAATCCTCAACTTTATGCCTTTAAACTGTAATGTTTCTTTGTTAGTTTTCAAAAAGCACATATTTTTGGATTCAATCTTTACTAGCCATTGATGGTATCCTGAATCCGGTGTAGAAACCTTGTTGGAGAAATCAAATTCCAACAGTTTACTTTTCCATGATGCTTGCGATTTCAAAATCTCCAAGAGTAGAAAACCATTTAACAACCAATCAAAATAGCTCTTCTAAACGTACCCAAAAAAAATTGCTCTTCTAACTTGTATAAAAATAATTTATGTATTACCATTTCAGAGAGGGAAAATAAATTTTAGAAGGAGAAAATAATTTTTAGAGGGAGAATATTTTTTAATAAAAATTACATGATTAATTTTTTTTAGAAATTTCTAATTTAGAGAGAGAAAATAATTTTTAGAGATAGAAAATAATTTTTAGAAGGAGAAAATATTTTTAGAGGGAGAATATTTTTTAATAAAAATTACATGATTAATTTTTTTTAGAAAATTTTAATTTATAGAGAGAAAATAATTTTTAGAAGGAGAAAATAATTTTTAGAGGAGAATATTTTTTAATAAATGATTAATTTTTTTTTTTAGAAATTTTAAACTTAATTTAATTAGTAATGTATAATAATTGTATTGATTTTTAAGAAAAATGGTAAAATGATAAAAATATCTCATTAATCTTCCATTTCCCTCCCATTCCATTTTTTCTACTCCCAAACAAGGGAAGGAGATACCCTCCAATTTCCTCCCCTTCCTTCCCCTTGGATCCCCTTCCTTCCCTTCCCCTCCAAACTCCCAAACAAAGCCTTATTATCTTACTTATAAGATACAATGTAGTAAATTTGTCAATATAACTTTTCTCTGTTTCGAAATTGGTTTCATTTTTCCGTACAAGTTAACTCGACCAGTCAAATAGAATCATAGAAAAGGCATAAAACCATCTGAATTAATTGCATGTGAGTATTGGAAGGTGACTTACCAGCAAGTTCTCATCAGGTTTTTCAATGTTATGCTCAGCAGAAGCAGTAGCTTCCATTTCCTCACATTCGCTCATACCAATGGAATGTCTCTCAAAAAGTTTGTTGCCGTACACCATTTGCAATTCTTGAAGCGTATCTTCTTTGCGCAACACACGCCACCTACACTTCCTTATCTTGCAGCCATGCATTAGAACTGTTGTAAATATCGGTTATTTAATTATTACTATTTGTTGTATTGGGTCAAGTCCATTAGATCAAGTATTAGGGTTTTTCATTCTCTATAAATAGAGACCTCTTTGTACAGATTATTTACACAATTTAATAATATTTCAAATATCTTTTTCTTTCAAGTTGGTATCAGATCTTTCGATCCTGAAGGCTCTGCTTCCGCAATTACCTCCGTTAAACAGAAACCTTCTTTCTTAGCCTCTTGCCGCCATTAGTCGCCACCGGAAAATTTTCCGGTGGACCTTTTCGACCAAGATGACCAGTTTTCAAATCCTTTTTCTCTGATCTATCAACTTACGGACGTGTTATAATCGTTTGACGACCGGATCTTCCCAAAACAACACAAGGCCGCTACTGTTCATCGCGTTTTGGACACTTTTCCGGCAACCTTTCAACTCCGACCGGCCACAGACAGGTTTGCGACCGTCGGACGACCTCGCCGCAGAAATTTCAGCTCCATCGGCCGCCGCACTTGCTCTCACGCGCCGCCACACTCCCGACGAGTGAGGCCCACTCGCAGACACCTCCACCGGCGGCGCGTGGAGGCGCGTTGGCCACTTTTTCCAGCTCCGACCAAAAAGTTTTCTGATCTTCTCCTCATCCTCTTTCTGGATCTGTGCTCTCCTCTCAGATCGGACGTCGTTTGGTATTTTTTTGTGATTTTTGGCTTTTTGGTGTAATCCTTTGACCATTTTTGTGCAGTGTGGCCTCTTCTCAAAGGAGTTCCTTTACAAAGTTTTTTGATCTTCTCCTCATCCTCTTTCTGGATCTGTGCTCTCCTCTCAGATCGGACGTCGTTTGGTATTTTTTTGTGATTTTTGGCTTTTTGGTGTAATCCTTTGACCATTTTTGTGCAGTGTGGCCTTTTCTCAAAGGAGTTCCTTTACAAAGTTTTCTGATGGAGCATCTTCTAGACATAAGAGAGATGATCGATGATGTTCTTATTGTAAAAGAACAAGTCATATCAAGGATCTATTCTTTCGCCTCCATGGAAAGCAAACTGTCTTAGAAAAGATGGCTAGGATGCGTGGTCAACCACATTTTACTAAAATAACTTCTGCACCTAATGAGACCCAACCTGCATTTCGTCCAGATGAGTTGGAACGACTCTGAATCATCTTTGATTCTCTGATTAAGCCATCTGATACTAGTGCTTTGACTATGACTGGTATGAGCTCCAAAACTTATTCTTTCCTTTCTTCATGTAATGATTTTAAACATTCTTGG